AAAAGTAATAGAGACACAGCAAGATGCCACTTTATCATGGTATTTTACTGCTCAGTAACATTTGAGCAACAATTTAATGTCCTATGTGGATTTCTTCTTTAGCAACCTGAATAAAACTGAGGTATTTTTTTGGCCTTTCAGCAAATTTAAACCTGAGAAATTTGGAAAAGTTGAAAATGCAAACACAAATAAATTTGGTTATGTGACATAAATTCATTTTTCACTAAATGTTTAAATATGTATTGATTGTGTAGGGGCTATAAAGTGTCAAGTTGGTATGCATTGCTTGTAATTTGCAAATAATCCCTAACTGAGCTGTTTTCACATGACGTTCATTTCATTGGTCACCAATTATCACAAAAATTGCCTACATTTTAACGTAAGAATCAATGTCTATTTTCTTCCAATTTTTGTCTTCAAATCATTTCTGATACTAAACGTAAAAGAGAGGAAGAATGGTAGCCACAGAGGTGAAAACAGTACTAGTTAAATAAATTTAAAGTATTTAGCAGCATGGAAAAATGTGAAGTATAACATATCTTCTATACTCTTTATTCATGGAGGATTATCAAATATCTTTAAAAATATTCCTCACAAAAGTACCTATTACATAGTATACACAAGTAGAGATGAGATGGTATGAAAGATAAAGATGGAGAGACAGAAAGACAAGGAAAGAAAGTCTTCTGTTTATGTTTTTGCCCTCCATATTAAAGGCCAAGACAGTGACACTAACATTAGAGTTTTCTCTCTCTTTAGTCTTAGGTGATGAGAATTCTAATTGCGCACCATGCCCAACCTCAGTGGCACACATCTGTTCAACTCTGAAGTCATCTCTCTAGTCCCTTTGCTCTTACAGAGAATGAAATAGAAAGAGTAGGCTGGTGATCTGTTTGTATTGACCAATACCCTCTTGAAGCCCTGTCTTCCATGCCACTTTCTCTTCACAGAGAAGGGGGAAAAAATGTCAGGAAAAACTTGATGGATTAGTGGGATTTCTGAGGGCCTTGCAAGGAACATTAAAAACTGAAAGAAAGAATACAAGTGCAATGGCAGAAAAGTAGATGATTTCCCTTGCCATGGAATTGATTCTTCCCAGATGACCCCAAGTGTGTCAGAGGACAATTGTGCTCCATAGAGTTTTCAATGGCTGATCGTCCAGAAGTAGATCACCAGGCCCTTCTTTCAAGGCACATCTGGATGGACTCAAACTTTCAACCTTACCGTTGGCATTTGAGTACATTACCTGTCTGCACAACTCAGAAACTCCTAGATGATTTGTTTAGGAAATTACAAATCTTTGTAAAAAAAATCCTCATATAAATATTGGACTTGGAGATGAATAGGCATGTTTTTGGAAAATGAAGCTAATGCTGTATGAGGAAACCTCAGAGGATGACATTTCTTTAATGACACTGCCGTGGTGCAGATTTTTGTCCAAAGATTTGCAGTTTGAGTCTGAATTTGTAAATTTACTAGATGCTCAGGCTGAAGTCACATTAGCAACCCAGCTTAAATAAAATAAGCAGAACTAGATATTTCTCAGCTTGCTGTAGCAGGGAATGGAGAATTAAAAAAGAAAAAAAAAAAAGCCCAAATGAGTTAAGATGTGTAAGCAAAAATGAGAAGTAAAAAACAAAGAAAATCATTATTTATTTTTTAACCAGTCTTCAAAATGTAATTTTATTACATTAATTTGTATAAAATATTGATGAAGATCAGTATTAAATTCCATCCAACAAAAATCAAGATACATTCAAATTAAATTTTTACTTTCTCATTTTGGATCATAGCTTTCCTCATTTTCTAAGTACTCAACAAGAGTTACCAAACATAATCTTTATTTTAAAATTTTGTCCAGGAGTAACTATGAAGATACTCTTTCTATAAATAAAATCTAGGATATGGCTAGGAAATTACATATAAAATAGGATCCCATATAGAGTTTACAGTGCATAATGAAAATGTTAAAGACATTTAATTCAATAAATGAATTATGAGTTTCTAACTTCTGGAATTCCACAGTGTAGAAGAAGCTATGTATATGTGTGTGTGTGTGTGTGTAGGAGCTCTGGTGGC